GTCATGTTCTGAATGTGTGTGTGTTCCAATTTAAATATGTTGATATTGTTACTCCGAGGAATTTTGCGTTTTCAACTGAATCAAGAATGTGGCCGTGCATATTATAATAAAAATTAATATGTGTTTTCTTTGTGGTCACTCGGGATATGTTGCATTTGTCAGGATGGAACTGCATAAGCTAGTCTTGTTCCCATATTTTGTGAGTATTTTTGGTAGATACCTTTTGTCACTGAAATAATTCTAATTTTGAAAGATTATAATGTTTTTTTTATAATTTAAAATGTGACTTGTAACGACTATTGATAAATGTATTTATCAAAGTTGTACAAAAGTTCCAACATGCAAAATAGTATTTGTTTATAGTTAACACGTGTTTGGTTATTTATAGTAAGGTTGGCATGATTGGGTTATTGGGTTTCATGCACAAGTGGATTTAGGCGGTTTAAAGTCATTCGAGCTATTGCAGTCAAAGTGTACAGTCGCATTTTACCAAATAAATGATATAATAATTAATATTATTCATTTTCAAATTTCCTTACCACCAGTAAACGACAACCAGTACCAGCTGCTAATTTTGGGAGGGTTGAGATCTCACAAAACATGTTTAACCCCGCCGCATTTTTGCGCCTGTTCCAAGTCAGGAGCCTCTGGCCTTTGTTAGTCTTGTATGTCTTTTTTATTTTGGTTCATTTATATGTTTCGGAGTTTAGTGTGACATCCATTTTCGCTGAACTAGTACACATTTTTGTTAAGGAACCAGCTGAAGCCCACCTCCGGGTGCGGTATTTTCTCGCTGTGTTGAAGACCGATTTGGTGGCCTTGGGCTGTTTTCTGCTCTTTGTTCGGGTTGTTGTCTCTTTGACACATACCCCGTTTCCATTCTCAATCTTATTTCCACATTATTATACAAATATGCATAATAAAATGTGCACTTGTCTCTGCAAGTGGTGTCTCCCATATAAGAGCAGAGGCTGATTAGCTACATTTATGGTTAATCCAGACTATTTACCTGTTCCTCTCCAAACTTTGTCTAGTTTGGGGCCCGGCGACCCCCTCTAACTTTTTTCAAAATCCTGGATCCGCATCTGGAGTTTGTGGTAATTTGATATATAATATTTTATATACGTTTCAGTTTACGAATTAGAATATAAATAACATTTCATTATCACATGATAAATTTGGTCAAGGTTTATTTTGAATTCTACTTCAACTTTGTCAAATTTATCAGTTAGATACCTCATCCACGTGATGAATTAGTTTAAAAGACAAAACTTACACAATTCGAGTAAGCTTTTACCAAATTTTTAGTAAAATTTTCTTGGAGGGTATTTTTGTTTAGAGAAGAAAATATTATCATAATATATTTATATTTATATATATTTTAAAAGGGTAAGTTTTACGAATATATTCTTGGAGCAGAGAAACAGCAATATGCTACTAAATAAATATGTGTATTCTAGAATAATAAACCAATAACATATAATGATTCTTCAGATGTGGAATATTGTATAGAGGTTTTGAATTCTCTATTAAGTATATATTAGCGCAAGTAGGTAAGGTAAACATTTCGGTAAATTTGTGGACAAATAAAAGAGTCAGAAAATAATCTGTATTTCAAGAGAATAACTTCATCAGCCAATGCTAGTCTTCTTGTGTCTTTGTTGTAGGGAGAGGGTACTGTTTAGAGTAGGAAAATCATGGTTTTGATAGTAGTTGTTGGGTTTCAATACAAAGTACATTTCAATCATACATTGTAATCCATTTTTTTTTAATAACTGAGATATTTTACATTGTAAAAACCTGATATATCTGGACATTCTTTTGTTCTTTGTGCGATGTCCGGCCATTCCTGGCTAAATAGTATACGGAAAATACTAGCAATTTGACTCATAAAAAATCAATTTTTAAAAAATCGTCTCGGAGACATAAAGAAATATCATTAAGTAAAATCCTTGACTTTCCATAACGGATTAATTGGTTCGATCGCTACATAGGCCTTATTTCAGAAGGGCTTACATCCCACAATTTCCAACGAACATTAATCTAAAGACTTGGGAGCGTTAAGTAGGTTTGATTCATATCTATATCGTTATTGTGTAGGATTTGACACAAAAAAAATAATACTATCCAAAGCAAGGGTTTACGGTTTACATTTTGGTATCGTCAATAGGAAGCAATTAACCCAAAGAGTTAAAAAAACCAGAAAGGCATGATATATAGGTCAACACACGGACTTCATTTAATAAACAAGTGTCTATTCAATATGACAGACATGTTTAAATCAAACTGTAAGTCGTTAAGAGCCCACAACCAAGTAGTGAACAAAATTAAAGATTTGCCAACAACACAATCCATCATAAGACAAAACTGGGATCCTGACATAATATTCTCAATACCGTAAGCGGACTTCCGGTTCGAATGTAGCTATATATTTGAATTGAAGCTTGCAAAATCGAAAATATTTCATCAGGATTCCAGGTTACAAAACAATCGAGATTACTAAACCAGCACGATGTCTCACTAGAGACCGGTATATGAACACTTTGTTTATAGCATTGGTCATCACGAATCGTTCGATCGTTACACAGTCTCAGTTCCTATACTTACAGCAGACAAGTTTTTATGTGATGTGGTTTCCTTTTGTCCTGTGTCGTCAATTTGATTGTTTTAGACTTTTTCGTGTTCCTGGTAGTGATATAAGCTTTTACATACGAGTAATTACTTAATTAAGTTTACAAAATGTACTGGTGATGCAAACAGGAGATTATATTTTATCGAAGAAAATGATCCACTCCTCTTTCTATCCAATGGTGGCTACCTGAACTAATGAAATAGGATATGACTTAGGTCGATTGATATTTGCAATGGTTAGATATTTAGTGTTCCTTATTAATGGCCGTAGTATTTTTGTATTTAAACGCAGCAAAATGCATACAAAACATTTTCATCAATAAAACTAAAAGCGTCCTGTTAAATTTATGAGTTTTAAGTTCAATTGAATTGATGATGTATTCCCACTCAAAATTAACCCATTGTACAATCATATGTAGAGATGGATTTGGTTACCCTTTCGGAGCACATGAAATTACCCCCTGTTTTTGCTGGGGTTCGTGTTTTTCAATCTTTAGTTTTCTGTAAGTGTTTTCTAAACTGTTTGTTTTTTATGTCGTTTTTTTGTCATGATATTGTCGATTTTTCTTCGACTTATGATTTCTAATTGTCCCCTTCCTTGGTATCTTCCGACTCATTTTACAGCGAGTGCTTGCATTTAATATATCCCAGTAAACTTGACCTATAGATGTTAATGTCTGTGTCATTTGGTCTTTTGTGGAGAGTTGACTCATTGGCAATCATACCACATCTTCTTATTTTTATATTGAAATCAAGATTATTTCCAGACTTGAAGTCTGCTTGATATCTATACTTTTTTTTTATTTGAAATCGACTTTTTTTAAGTAGGATCCATAAAAATGGTGAATATATCAGTTTCTACCCCATTGTATGTCGTTCATATACACGCGTGTGCATATTCATGTTTGTTTTGTATACTTTTGGTCTTTTGGGGTTTTTTTTCTATGGCGTTGTCAGTTTAATTTCGATTTTAAGTTTGAATGTCCCTTTGGTATCTTTCATCTCTTTTTCACTACAACGGACATCATTAACAAAAATGTGCCCCAAGCAGAGCTATGTGGAAAAAAGACTGAAATTGACACTATTAAAATGTTTTACTGTCATCTCTCTCACGGTTAACTAATTCGTTACGAATTAGTTGAACCGATACTTTTCGACTATACCTTTTTCCAGAAACGATCAGAACCTATCTAAAATATTAGTGCCTGTTTGACTCTATTATAAGTACGGGAAAAAATAAAACCATAAACTACTTTTACTTACAAACTAAACTTGAAACAGCAATATAATGGTGGCAAATGGCGAAACACTGATGGCTTAACAGATGATGCTTTGAGAGACTAACAGTTCACGTGTAGCAGTGAAGAACCAGTGCTACTTAATCAAGTGACACATACAGAGTTCGCTGTATTTGGGGTACGATATGAAGGTGAACCATTTACTGAAAGTTACCAAGACTGACAAAGCCTACATTACATGTGATGTAGAACAAAGACACATATCAGACAAGTATTCAAATAGTTGTTCGGAATCTCAACCGTAAAACTTAAAAATAGAAATCATATTGGTAATTTCTTGAGTTTTATTCCTCTGTAAATTCAAATCTGGGATACTACGGAAGTCAAAATAGACTCTGCGGTATCAAATATATGAATTAATACATAAATATATAATGATGGAATGCTCGAACCATCTCATTTTCTTTGGGTTTCAGTATCTTTAGGTAAAAGACTTTATGAAAAGCCTCATTCTGGATGGTAACTTATATGCCAATTTTACTTTTGTATTTATTTTGCATTATAAGGTTGCTAACTGTAATATACGAGTTTATATACAAATAAAGATCGTTTGCAGATTACTTTTCTCTGTAGATGTAAATCTCAATAGAATTTTCATTCCAACTCTCATACTTGGTCTCGTCCTGATATGCATGAAATATTTGCCAATGGACGTTAAGCAACCAACAATCAATCAATCATACTGGGTACTTTTGTGACCATAGACAAATCTCACTTTTGCTTTAGATGTCTAATATATTTGAACTTTGCTGGCATTTCTTAGCACAAATACGTAACTAACAGTTAAAATAGATGGTGTCATTGAGACATAATGTGTAAGTGACTTTAGGGTGTTTTATTGTATAAAACTTCAAAGCCCCTGTGTGTTTTGACCGTTCAGTTTGGTTTTTTTTAATTTTCAATAGTATACAGCTATCCACTCATCAGTTTGAATGACAATGTTTCAGATCTGTTCTTTGGTGCCGAAAATTATTGTTATTAAAATGTAATATTTCAATATCTTAATATAGTAAAGGAGACGTTCATGTTGAGTATATATTGATGTTTATTTTGTTTCCCTCACTCAGGTAAATGGCCAGCCAAATAATTGAGGTAAAACTTCCAGAACCACAACAGAAAGTGTTTAGCGGGGAAGTGTTTCCTTACATTGTTTCACCTGCTGACAGCTCTGATCTTGCTGACATTAACAAGACATGTTACTTGGTTGAAAATAACAGAGAATATGTCGAATCATGTCTGATAAAATATGGCGCTGTCTTATTCCGCGGCTTTCCAATAGAAAACCCCGAAATGTTTGACAAGTTCGTCAAAGCGTTTGGTTATGAAGCACTGCCTTATGTCGGTGGAGCAGCTCCAAGAAAGTTAGTGGTCGGCGACGTATTTACATCAAACGAAGCCCCACCGGAAATGCTTATTCCCTTTCACCATGAAATGGCCCAAGTACCGACGTTCCCGAATGTTTTATTTTTCTTTTGTAATATCAGTCCACCAGACGGAGGTCAGACACCACTTGTTTTATCTAATCTAGTTTATCAACAAATGTTAAAATTAAACGAACCATTTGTAAATAAACTTTTGGAACTCGGTGTCAAGTATACACGGGTTCTTCCGAACGGAGACGATCCTACGTCACCCATAGGTAGAATGTGGCAATCTACTTACGGGACAACGAACAAGGAAGAAGCCGAAAAGAAAGCACTTGAGTTAGTCGGTAGCATTGAGTGGCTTTCAGATGGCTGTCTAAGAACAGTAACAGATGTTCTCCCAGCAATAAGGGAAGACAAACGCACGGGAAAAATGACATGGTTTAATTCTGTGATAGCTGTATACCGTGGTTGGAAGGACAGCAGAAATTCTCCAGAAACATCAATTACATTTGGAGATGGATCACCCATGAATCCTGATGTCATGACAACACTGGAAAATGTTCTAAATGAGCTAGCTATTGATTTTATGTGGAAGAAACACGACGTAGTGATGGTTGACAACCGCCAGGTATTACATGGCAGACGATCATTTGTCCCACCTAGACAAATTCTCGCAGCACTTTGCAAATGAACACTGAATTTGTCTTTCTCTTTTTGTCTTGTTATGGTATATTAATTACTATGTAATGCATTATTTTCATATGAAGTTTATTTTTGTGTTATTGGCATTAAAGGTATTGTTGATGCTGTACGGTACCTTTTATCAGATAACATATTTATCTACAATTTTGACATTGTCGTATTGTCTTAATCAATCCTTAGCGAACAGTTGAGGTCGGATGAAAATAACCAGCGACTCATAACTGAATTATTTTTACTAACCATAGCCATTACATCAAATATCAAGAGATTATATTTTTGCACGACGTATATTCCTCTATATATGTTTTGCTCTAGCGCCTTTTTGTTAACAGACAAAAGGCTTTGTTAAAATATAAATCTTGATGAACATGGTCGAGCTTAAACAAGCGTAAAAGTTGAGAATTATAATGGAGATACCATCGTTACGATTCAAACTTCATTTTTTAAATTGTATTGTACAAAAAGTTATATAATAAAGTATTTTTGTTCAACCTTGAACTACATTACAGACATGATACGTGAATATACTTTTAAGCTCTCAAAGTTAAAGTTCGCACACAAAGTACTTCGGACGGATGACGGTTCCAACTTTGAAGAAAGTTTGCTTTGTAAATTTTGTGCTTTGTATGGTATGTGTTGTAAGGATTTTTTTAGTGTGTTTCTCTTTGGGGGGGGGGGGGGGGGGGGTACAAGTACAAAGAGTTACATGAATTTTATTTAAAAATATCTTAAAAATAATCATATAACATTGTTAAAACAATAATACAAAATATAATCATCACATCAAAATACCAAGTAAAACGAGTCAAACAAACATCATACAACTTAATTGGACATATTATAGTTTATAAAAGTATCTTACATTTCAATATTTTTTACACCAAGATGTCGTTAAACATGTTATATAAAATTGGATACTATGCATTTATCATGCTTTTCAATAACATATGGTCAAATCACTGAACGACCTCCTCCTTCTAAATTATTGAAAACTAACATTCGGCATTGACAATGATATCTTGGTGTAAATTAGATTCACCCATTCGGGCTAACGCCCTCAGGGTGTATCTAATACAAAAACCTTTTGAAAAAAGCTCATTTAATCTCAGAACTACCCCCTTTTCCCACTTACTATAACCTTCACCCTATAATAATAGAAATTGTAGTCACTTGACGTTGAAAAGTTTATTTGATAAAATTCTAGAACGTGGAATGTGTTCTAACCTTGAACTCTTTATGCGATCTGCAATGGTTTGACGTAAAATTATATCTGTAATAGTAAATATAGACCATCGAACTGCAAACATTGATTGCTGGACTTTGAGCAATTATCAATATTACATACGTGTACATCGAGCTTATGATAAAAGATGAAACACTAATTCTAATCATGTCAATTTAGATATGAATTAGAGTTTGACCTCAAAATTATTTTCAACGTTTATAAATATTCAGCTATGAGCTTGACAGTATAGGTTGAAAATAAAAAAAAAAGTTTGTTGAAATGCTTGAAGCATTTACAAGAAACGATTTATTGCTTTTTCAGTAGTCATTTTTGTTAAATTTTATCAAAATCAGTGATACATCATTGACTTGCAAGACAATAATTCGAGCTCATTTTCATCTCTACGCATGCTTTGCTTGGCTTTATTTGGAGATTGTTTGCGTATGTATTCAACATGTTTAGTTATTGAAAAGTATGTTAGCTGGAAAAAGTGAAGCTTGAGAATCGATTTCGTTAACTAATTCAGCCTTCGAACATTTTTCTGATACAACTTCCAAGTAAAACGACGATGTACCTGATTATTTACATATGAATATAAACAGAACTAGGACAACCGTCGTTATACTCGCGCTCTTCCATATATATCTGTTTATATTTATTTTGATCTCATGTGCCTATCGTCACTTTTTGGGAGGTCGATGGTTAATTAGATGGCGTACAGTCCCAAAATGTTCATACTTCATAACGATTCCATGGGTTGCTTATTGTTTCCTATGGAACTTTTTAAATTCTGATATACTTTTAAGTATGATATTAATAAAATATGTTTAAATGAATTTGGCAGCTAATGCCCTTTCAATTATGAGTTTATAATTCCTCCTAGTATTTCCTAATATTTCTTGGATTTCCAATTTTAGTGGATTTTATTTACTAATATTCCTTGGATTTGCAATTTTTAAGGGGTTGTTTGGGAGGGATTAATGAAGGAAAGATGGGTGATGCAAGGAATCTTTCCTGCTTAGTTGGAACCATAATGAACGAGCTGTTCTTTTGCCAGGCTCTCCCTCTACTATGATTGCCTATCCCTGAACAATGTTTATTGTAGTTAAAGATACCGCATACATTTTATCAAAATTGTGTTCTCAAAACTTTTCTCTGGGTTGATGTTTGTCTTTATGAATTTCAGAGACAAATTTGTCGTAACAATATCAGGGATACTCAGGGATATTTTGCGGCTTCCCCGAATTTCTGGATTTTGATTGTTATGAAACACACTAGATATAACGAGCCTTGTCAAATGTATAATTTTCTAAACTTTGCTAATTTCTATTTTATTAAAACTATTCAGGGAACACAAATGTTGGTTGGTATCATATCGTTTGTAGCTAAAAGTTATGTAAAATTCTGTTATAAGGTAAAAACGCACAATTATCTAAACAGTCAAGAATTTCGTTATTTAAAAAATACTTGGATCAGTTAGCTCAGTAGTCAGTACTTCGGTACTGACCTGACTTCGGTACTGACATGATCTATGACAAACCTTTCTAAAATTGTCCATTTATAAATGTAGAAAAGACCAAGAAACTAAGGATTCAACTCCCTCATGCATCTTTGACCTTAGATGGATTTGGCTATTACTTTTAGGCCCTTTTTGGTCAGCTCTTCGCCTTCATTTTTTGTTTAAATCTATAAATTTAAAATTGGAAATTCAAGAACTTTTTTATCCGATTGTATGTGCTTTCTAAACAAGTGTTCACCTATTTTGAAAACAGTTCAGTCAGTAATATTTCAGAGAATAAATGCATAATTGTATTTTTTTTCGATTTTCACTTATAGTTCAACGAGATCAAGTTGTATGCAATTTTTACCAAAATCTGTGACATAGCCCATTTACTGTTCCTTGACCTTAAATTAACTTTACCTTTTAGAGCTGATTTTTACCGCAACTTCAATGTGAGCAACGCATTTCCTGTAAAAACCGGCTTGTTTATAAAAGCGTAAGCGAAACACTTTATTTACTGTTAAATATTTAGCACCCGAAGAGCACAAAACACACTTATTTATTTATTGTGAAACAGTAGGCACATGGAAAGTACTTGCTTTCTAGATGCATTACGCAAAATCACTAGTTACTTTTTTATTTCTTAACATTGCCGCTAGAAACAAATAGATCCGGAAACGGTTTCAAGTTCTATTCCAATGTTTATTAAATGTTAAATAAGCATATTTTGAAATCACGTAGACTCTTACGGCACATTCATGAACCAACACTCAATTTTCTCTGATACATATTGTCTGATCCACAGACTTTATATACTTAAATCTAGGTTATCTTCAAACCACGTGAACTTTTAAAAAGCACGTACTAGTCCTAAAACAAGGTCTTTTATCTGACCCAGATCAAAGGAGATCCTGTTAGGAAGTACAAAACGATCAGCGACATTCAAACCGATCTTTTTTAAACGGGTCTTTTTTTTATAAAACTATTTACCGCATTTAAATATGATACACATTCCCAGAGATTGTCATAATTTTCACCAGTTGCAACCATCAAAACATAAAGTATGTCTCCTGTCGACACTATGTCAGACAATGGGTTACATGACAGGGTCGTTGAATCAGATATTGTGTTAAAGTGCGCTATTTGATCTATGAGTGCAAAGAGTATATACGTATTGGGGTCAAGTGAACAGAAGATAAAAAACAAAGTGTCTCTTATTATTTCTTTCATCTGTAAAATTTATGCGAATGAATACTTCACTTGGCAATATTTCATAAACATAAATACGTCTTTATATACAGACGATGATATGAATGGCTGCTGAACGTCGAGCGGCAAATTTAATGCATATTCAAGACAAGAACATTTGAATGCAACATGAATATTAACCCTACTTTGTGTACTAGATAATGATAATCGGGATTTTTAACATGCTAGTTCACAAGGTACTAGTCTGCAGGAAGACATGTCACCTTAGCCAGACACGTTATTCTGACTCCGAGCCGACCAGTCTTTGACCTTACTCCTTAATGCCGCGTGCTCAGCGACAAAGCAGCAAACATCAATTTTAAACCCAACCCACGAACTCCCGCATTCGAGGCGAACACGCTAACACGAGCCCACCGAGGCGGTATATGTAACTGACACATCTATATAGTTGAGCTGGTTTTTTTTGTAATTCATTATACTGTGTGTTCCTTAAAAAGTAGACGGCATTAGAGTTGACTTTTATTTCGCAAGGTATGAAATTTAAGCGATATGACTGCTGAACCAGTGGGTTTTACAGTGAATTGTGTCATTCAGATCACTGTCCATGAAGTATAAACATGCATTTATCTGCTTACTGTACTTCCACTTGATCATAGATTTCTTTGATATGGATAGATTATTTGTCAGTTGAATAGTAGTACACGTGATGCATGACATATAGCCAATCAATTGTCGCCAAAAGGACCACTTTTGAAATAGAAATGAGGCTCTTGACCTAGATGTAGTATGGTCGATGTTTATAATTCTTTTATTAAAATGGTAATCGTAACCTGACCAGTTGCTGTCACTGTTCAGTCAGTTGGTTGCCTGGTACAAATTACCCTATTTAGCAAAAATTTTGGTCTTCCGCAATCTGAAGTCGCAGATAGCAGAAAATGATAGGACTTTATTTTTTTAATGAAATAAGAAGTAAATTTCGAGGCAGTAATGCAACTCATAAGTAAGACTTCTCTTTTAATGAAGAAAATATATTATTATATCTTATAACAACCACTGTTTTAACAAATATACAGAATTTCTTTTTTGTTTTTTTTTTTTAAACACATTTATTAACTTAGCTTTATCAGGAAATTCAGATAATCTAATCTTACAGATGAGTTTATAGATTTTTTTCTATTTTGTTTAATAGCAAGAAAAAATGTGCGGTGACCCCATTTTTTTCTTTTAAATTTGTAAAAGCATTTTATCAGCGTTATGTTCTCATATTTTTATTTCAAAATTATGTCATTTAGTTTACATTCTTTTTACTCGATAATGCCTTTTCTTGTATAGCCCTTACGCTATAAATGTTTGTGAGCGCCCAACACTCACCTTTTCCTGGGAAAATGGTGTAACAGCACAACATAACAACAAACTGTAAAAATAAGTTTAAATTGCCACGATGCACCAAAAAACCCCCAAAAGAAACAACTACTTGTTAACAGCGAACTAAGACGCAAAGAACTGATCTAAGAGTACTCGAAGTAACTGAAAGCTAGCTCAACGCCAATTACGACTAAAAATAAATCATGTTCTCCCAGACCCAATACATCCGCAATGATTATGCCTTTCTGGATGATGGTACAATCGTTAACTTTTTGGGGAATATGTTTATATTCATGCGAAACACCAAATGTTAGTCCAAACGACTTGGATAAGCAACTATAGGTCACCGTACTTCGTTCAGCAATGAGAAATAGCTATACCGTATTAACTCCATAACCGCTTAAAAAAAACATGTTTAAAATCTTTATTGACTAATGATAATATTCAATTTCTAAATATTATGACATTTGTTGAAAATTGATGGTTTAACCTAGTGAGGTTACATCTACTCTGACAATGAGAGAAAGGTATTGATTTTTAGTTCTGATAATTAATATCAGACCTGTATTCTGGCTATGAAAAACAAACACTAACCAACTTATGACAAATTTCAAATATTTATTAAAAAATAATCGAAAAAAAATACAGCACAAAATATGGTATCATAGTCTAAACGTATAAACCGGATTATTTGCATGAATATTAACGTTATATATATAATGATGGAACACCGAGCATTTACATTAAACAGCTTAAAAAACACTAATTACTCATGCTAAAGTAGTCATGCGACTTTTTGAAATACTTGATTATTGTAGTATTTGTTTTAGGTAAGCTCAATTACTATTTACCGGGCATATACACGCTAGTTATCTATCTTTGTTATTACACATGTTATTACATACGGAGTTTGAACAACTTTAATCTATACTCAACACTGATGGTCACAATGAGTAAAATACTCTCTACCATATGATAGCTGGATATTTATAATATTGAATGCCGTCAATTGAAAAAAAAAATCTTCATTGACTAATTCAAATTGTTCTGAAGACAGATAATACCTAAATATCAACATTTTTTATAACCTAAACAAAATTAAAATATTCCTCACTGGTAATATTTATTGCGAAAGTTATTTGTCCTATACAAGAAATTAACACGCGCACTGAATATCATTTTAGGCAACCGGCATAAAAAAGGTAGTACTAAAACTTTATATAGAACAAAACCGGTAATTTTATAAAATACTATTTTCCGAAACCCATTAAGATCCCATCATTCCTAGCATTAAAAATGGCATCATTGAATTATCGAAAGGAGGTCCATACATTCCACCAGATGTTCCGACAGGGTTGTACGGATTCTCTAGTGCTCCTGATAATGCCATCATCATTATAACCTCATTCGGAGTAGGACCTTCTGGGGCTTCGCCACCACGGGCCTGTTGTTGTCGCTGCATTCTCTGAACTCGGTCCAAAGTGGTTAATACTCTGTTTATTCTTTGTCTGCTTTGACGGACAACTTGAACTGGTTGTGCAGTATAACAATCTGTCTTGTTATCTGATTTCCTAACTGGTGTAGGTATGCAGCCATCCAATACAATTCTGCAATGTCTTGGTATCTGTAATGATCGTGGATCCTTGTTGCTTCTAAAATATAAATAGAGAAGTAGGTTTGATTGATATCTTAAAAAAATAGATTAAAAAAAAATCTTTTCTGGTATACATAGATTTAAATGCGCATTGTGTTGTTTCAACGAGAACCTTAATAAGGATCGTTCGAGCCTATAAGTTCGGGTAAATTATTTCTGGACATCAAAAATTAAACGGGCCTAAATAGTAACAGCCATAGTCGTCATAGGTATACCTTGCCTGAGAGAGTTACAACATTAAATTAGTTTCACTGCAATTATCTAATCTATAAACTGAAAACTGATCCATTCAAATGTACCACTAGTATTGAAGTTGTGCTGGTACCGAAATCATTGTCTACTGAGCAGATGGTTCTACCAGTCGACCAGCATCGACACCGGCATAGTGGTAAATGCATTTGCTATATCAGAAATAACATTTAAGTTTTATTTGATTTTATCCATTTCAACATGGCAGCGTACTTACGGACAACAACGCATCCCATATTGATTGCATGTACATGTATGGCAATCCAAGGTTTTAAAAGTGGTATCGGGTAAAACTCTTAATTTAGCTACACTAACTCCATCTCTCACAGGATGTTCACAATAAGATCTTCTTGTTCCAAAAGCTAAAATAAAAAATGGTTTAAATAAATCAAAAGTTTCGGAACATAATTTAGTAAAATTTTCTACCATAAAAAAGTACAAACACTCGAATAAACAAACAAACTGGATTTTTGCTAAAAATGCGGAAACGTAATACGCCCTTTTTTTCTCCCTTTTTTCTACTCATTTGTTGTTGCTGTTGTTTTGGGCGTATTACGTTTCCGCATTTTAAGCAAAATTCAGTTTCACGTTTCCGCATTTTCATGCATTACTTTTCCGAAATAATTAGATACCACCTTTCCGCATTTGTACCTGTATTTCACCTGTAAAAAAATGGTAATAATAATAATATATAAGACTTTATTGTATTATAGTATTTTTTCTTAATTTGTATTTTATTATGATAATATAATTCCTCCAACAGGTAGATTATATTCAGATTTAACATTGTGAGTACTTTTCAAAAGTCACTATGTGGAAAGTCACCTCATATGCGTTGAATACCGTATTTGGTTATATCTTTTATATTCATTTGCATATGTTTGATTTATTTTTTGGACACTCAATTTCATGTCCTTATTTGGTTTCGGTCAATATTGCCATTTGCATATCATTGTTCTTCGAAAAGTTCACAGTGTTTGAACTTCTGGTATCTAAGAAAGTGTATTTTGAGACTTTTAATTGATATATGACCATGTATGATTTTTACCATTTTAAGTTGATAGTTTCATTTTAATCATAAAGACTTGTCCTGCTCGAAGTCCTACTTCCACCTCCCCGTTGCTGAGCAGGGAGGCAACAGGTTTGCCTGGCAAACGGAAGAGGCATACATTAAAAATTAAAATGCGGAAACGTAAATAACCTTCAACAAAATCAATGTAAAAACAATGTGGAAAAGAGTACTATAAAAATGCGGAAACGTAGGAATTCTAATGCGGAAACGTAGTGCCAAAATGCGGAAACGTAAAACGCCCTTAACCAGCATACCCAACGACCCAAACGAAACGCCTGTCGTGCGCGAGGAAATCAGTATCATACAGGTTTTTTTTCGGGCGTTTTACGTTTCCGCATTTTGATTTTCAGCAAAAGTTCTAAGGTAGATTAACCGTATACCGCTATTTTGGATTATAAAAAAGCAGTTAACAATAGGTCTAGTTCTTTGCTTAAATCTGCAATTTTGAGACAGATTGGCAATTAATGGATTAGACTGTTTGAATAAAGACGAATAAGTGATTTATTGCATTATTCAGACTGATTGATCAAATACATGTACCTATTATTTTTGTTTGTTCGAATTAAATTATCAACTTAGCCATTTAAGGGAAGATAACTCAAATAGTAAAATTTGTGTACGGGAATGATAGAGAAATTTTCAATTTTTACTTGTAGCAAGAAAATAAGTTTGGTGACACATTTTTTTCTTTTTATTTTCTTAAAGCATATATTAAACCTATCTTCTCATATTTTATTTCAAAATTCTATCTCAAAGATTTCTTTTTATTCACAAAAAAGTGTTTTTTCATGAACAATCTACGCAAAATTGACCAATTTTGCATGACTTGTAGCTTGAAAAATAGCACGGTGACCAATACTTTTTATTATATTTTTGAAAAAAAGAATGGAAAAATCTACATTCTGGTAAAGTATAAGAAAATTCTATCTGACGAAATATATACAAATGATCCACCTTAAATTGTTCTAAATAATAAAAACTAAATTAAGAAGCCCGACAGAACATTCAAACGCGACTTTCAAACATGTCCCTCTTCTCACAAACATCTCATTTTATAATATTCGTGCGATTTAGGCTTTTATCCCCATTAAAATATATCACGCTTAAAAAAAATCACTATATTTGAGATGTTCTATCAATTATCAGAATTCAATATTCAATGAATAATTTCAGAAAAAAATACGTTAAAAGATGTTATATGACTGAACATATGTTAATGGAAGACAAAATGAACGAAAGTGTTTGTTAAAGATTTGTATTAAATAGATTTTTTTTTTTAAATGAATGAAAATACGAAGAAATTAACAAAGGATTAGATAGTCATATATACACCAGTGAAATCCTTAATATAGCCTTATCGTCATTTTTATATCGTCATTTGTTAACTGTTATGACTGTTTTATCAAACTGATAGTAAAACATGTTTCAACAGACAAAAACAAATGGCAGTCATTAGCAAAATAACATTAAATGTCTATTATTGCAACTATTTATTTTTTATAGTCTGAAGTATCTAAGAATATTAGAAAGTTTGTGTACATTGTATCTTCATATTTATTTAAAAAAAAGAAGTTTTTTTTTTCAATATAAAAAGGTCGGAAACTTGAGGCATGAAAGTGTACAGTGTATGAATGACTACAGAAATGTTAAAGAATGTGGACACATTTACCCTCGAGATATTTTGAGAATGTATGTTTTTATTCGGTTTTTTCAATTAACTAATGACACGAAGTGTATATCCTTAATGTCATTTCAACACATGCATTGTATTGTTTTGTGTTTATAATACAATAGAGAAATGTACTTCCTCTTACATTTATTGGCACATCTTGTTAGAGGTTTCCCCGATTTCATACCGTACCAACCGTACTACGAACTGGTAGAGGTCATATAACTTTTGAAAAAAACCACGGTTTGAAATATTTATTATGAATAATGTTTAGCATTTGATTCTCTTCATCTAAGCAAAGTACTCTGAATTTTTCCTGCGATGAATTTGTAAATATGTAGCAGCCAAAAAGCATGTTTAAGTTGTGATCCAATTATTTTTCTCCCGTCATAGACTGAACAAGAGTGCACACGCTGAAATGTCTCGCCTGTTTTACTGACCATTGATTTTATGTTGAAGGTCTTAAAGATAAAGGTTTTACTACAAGTATCACATAAACTAAACATTTTTAAATATCCATGGCAATGAGGTCAAGGTCAGATAATTCCTGTCAGACAGACATGCCCACCTTACAATTATTCCATACACCAAATATAGTAATTGAAAAACAGACCAAAAACACACAAAAACTTTAACATTGACCAATGAACCATGAAAATGAGGTCATTGTTAGATTATACCTGCCAGACAGACATGTACATCTTACAATCATTTCATACACCAAATATAGTTGACTTACTGCGTATACTGTTTGTAAAACAGACCAAAACACAAACTCTTTACATTGACCAATGAACCATGAAAACAAGGTCAAGGTCAGATGATACCTACCAGACAGACATGTTCACCTTCCAATTATTCCATACAACAAATTTAGTTGACCTACTGCTTATAGTATTTGAAAAACTGACTAAAACACAAAAACTAAACATTGACCGATGAACCATGAAAATGAGGTCAAGGTAAGATGAAACTTGCCAGACTGACATGTACCCTTTACAATTATTCCATACATTACATATAGTTGACCTACTGCTTATAGTATCTGAGAAACGGACCTAATCACGTAATTTTAACCTTGATCACTGATCCATATAATGAGGTCAAGATCAGATGAACTCTGTCTGGCGGACATGTAGACATTGCAAGGAACCCATGTACTAAATATAGTTATTATATTACAGTAACTCATAATAAGTGAGAAATTCACATGACAAACAAAAAAAAAAACTAAAATTTGTTTTTAAGAAGTCGCCGAACCATGAAAATGAGGTCAAGGACAATGGACATATGACGGACGGAAACTTCATAACACAAGGTATCTGCATACAAGTTATGAAGCATCCAGGTCTTCTACCTTCTGAAATATAAAGTTTAATACAAATAGTTTATAACGCTGCCACCTAGTAATCCCTATGTCTCACATACTGCGACTTTCGTCGCAGGCGAGACAAAACCCGTATGTTTCTGCTCTTTCCCATTATTCAATTTAGCTTTAATTCTATGGTGCATCATTATACAAAATACCTTTTAAAGATATGTACTTTTGAACAAGCCAATTGCTAGCATTGAACTATATGGCAAGGCACCAAACGTTTTGAAGTTAAAGGGAGGTTTGAAATTTTGTAATTCTAGACGGATGTAATTTTGTGTTTTGAATCAGTCATGGGGTATAATAAAAAGTCTGTCTAAGCGTTTATCAGTATATAGTGCATTTCTAGAAAGAACGAAAGAAAAAAAACAGATTGTTGCCAAAAAAATAAGTATTGTGGGGTTCGTGCAAAAAATCCTGACTCGACGGGATTTCCAAATTTCTCATCTTTTCGAAAGGAACAAAGTTAGTTCTTTATGAATCTAATTATATTTGCGTAAGGACTGTTTGATTCATGCAGACTATAGTACATAATTATAAACAGAACTACACTAACAAAGCGTTCTAGAAATGGTATATAGAATTGCTATCAAATAAAAATAGCTTTCTATTTCTTCATCTGAACGTAATTAAAGAAGTTCTTATTACTACACTTTAGGGATTGCTTCAGTTATTTACCGAGGAATGAAAAAGAGTTCGCGGCCAAAACGATTTTTTTGCGATAAATAAACAGGCTAAAGCACCCCCTCTTAGACAGAAAAAATGCACAAAAAAGTTGTACAAAGAAGAGTCAACCACACAACGCCGCGATCCGACACTTTTGGGAAAGTGTCCTATTGAAGATTTAAGGTTCACCATAGTCTATCATTTTTATGTAAAAAGATGTCCATAGTATTTCTGGACTTATTTTATGCTAGATAATTGTTTTGAATGACCAAGAATCATAGGTCCATCATGATGTTTTACTACGTCCCACGCCAATTTAACATTCACCATACATTACTATTGACCTCTAGATATGTTTTGATCTTTTGTGTAGATTTGTTGCTGCTCATTAACGAAAACACCAATTCTTCTTTTATAAATGTTAATTGAAAATTTCAATTATTAATATTACCCGGACATGTATTGTCCATTAGTTGTATCTTACACTCATGTTCTATGATGCAATTCATACAACAATGCCTTAAAGGGATTTAGCCACTTACAGATGATCTAAAACCACTATATGACCCAAAGATATAGGTAAAATAATTAAATAACTGTTTTAAGAATTATGCTTCCGTCACGTACGACACGAATGTTCAATTACGCGAACACAATTACTTAACCTGTCTATTTTTTGGTTTTATAAATTATGAGATAAACAAATATAGTATTTCATAATTTCTTTAACAAACTTTCAAACGTTACAAAAAAAAATACTTTCCATAAATGTCCACATAAATTGTCAAGCTTTGAAGGCAAAATAACACATATTTGTTTGTCCAGATTAGAAAGATAAATTGCACTTAAGCTGTAGTTCGCCTACGGCAGTCATATGAATCAAAATTCAACCTAGGTAAAAATGTATCTAGGAAACTGAGCAAAATTATTCATCTATCAGTCTATGTCTGCAAACATTTTGAAGGCTTAAATGCATTTAATGTCTTACGAAAATCCTATTTAGAAAATTATATGAAAACGGAAAGAAAAAGTCTGTAGAAAAAGCACTTGGAATTAAACGGAACCAGGAGAAGTGAAAAAATGTTTTGAAACTTCATCCTTCATTGTTGCATATATTTGTGTTATGTATATAATTATAAAAAATGAAAACAATACTTTATAGATTTTATGCGTCCTTAGCGCTTTTCTGGATTTAACTTCATCCGGAACGCTCAAAGCCAAATATTTGAAAGCGAATGAGGTAAAGAACCGAAACAGTTGAAGAGCTATATGACCAAAAAGCTAGGACCTAATAATAATCACCTAATCCGGCTAGGGACAACTTCGCCTACTATACAAACTCATTAAAACATTGACTGTGTTAAAACTGGCTGGTTTGAAACATCTAATAAAAGATGAAGAAATAATGTACAAAAATTGAACTTATTCAAGCGATTATCACCAATAAACTGTTTGGAAAATTGAACAATTTCTTCATTTACATGGCATTTTCAAGGTACTGTTTGCCGCCCGTATTGCAAATAGCTTTACAGTGAACACAAATATGTAGATTTAAAATATATTTCTGAAAATGATGCATGCAATTATTAATTTATTAATTATTCCTACAAAAAAAAATTAACGTACCTGATATTTCAGTTTTTAATGGAGAAAATTCACACTGGCCGTGAGTTTGTGTAACTCCAAAAACCGATATTGTTATCAATAGCAGAAGCATCATGGACGGCGTCTTGTTGTTACAATGAATACACACCATAAAGAAAAATAAAGTCAGAGAAAAATCATTTAAAGAAGCGCTGTCAAAAATTTATAGGATAGACTGACTCTCTGTGACCCGCAGCTGCAGTTACTATCTTCTTCTGTCAGGTACGTGACATGATTAATTGGGGGGACGGGTTTTATGACAGATTATTGTTAATTGTACATCGACATGCTCTTCGTGTTACAAGGTATCCACTTTAATGTTTATTGGTCAAAATACACAAAAGTAGCCGACATAAAGTAATGTATTGTATTCTTCCAACTACTCTATTGCATATTCATATATTCATCGAATTAATCATTCCTAAAGAGAGAGAGAGAGAGAGAGAGAGAGAGAGAGAGAGAGAGAGAGAGAGAGAGAGAGAGAGAGCTGTTGACTTCCCATGTCAAAATTATATTCTTAAATGGTCACATGCAGTCACTTCATGTTTAAGCCATTGATATTGGATAGCGCAAAAACGCGAGAATACAAAGATCATGCAGCCAAATGCGGCCATTTCGCGTTTTTTATTTACGAAATATCCAAACTACCATTGTGCAACGGTTGTTGCTATGACTCCAACCGTCAATTGACTGATTGACGGCAGACCAATAAAAAGAGTAACTTGAAAAGACCGAGAGTTAACAACATGACATTTAAAATCTTAAGATGGAAATAATGATTCCAACTACAGGTATAGTCGGACCATATGAGTATTATACTCGTTTGGTTATTAACGGGCATTTTTTCAAATAAATTCTAACTTCCTTCGCAAGAGCACACAGTTCATTATCCGAACCCAAACGACACAAGTAACTAGCTGAATTCCTTTATCCTTACATATTGTCTGAATCCAGGGACTTTCTATACTAACCGTTAGAAAGTCCCTGTTGAATCTTAGTGTATCTGTTATCTTGCCTTCGCTAGAATCAATCTAGAGCGTTTCGCAAGAATCAATCTAGAGCGTTTTATCTTGTCGACATTTTCGTTCGTAAGTGAAATCGCAGGCGTTTTTGACATGGACATTTTTTATTTTTTCTAATCTCAACTTGTTTACTTCAATTATTGTGTTCTTTCTTGTATTCATATGATTTTTATACGCCCGTTTACGGGACGTATTATGGTATACCGTCCGTCGTCAACATGTCGTACAATAACTCAAAAACGCTCAAGTTAACCAATTTGCACGAAACTTTGGTGAATTGTTTATATCTATTGACGTAAGCTTCCTTTCGATTGTTGATCAATTTTAGATTTTACGTTTCCAAGTTATGAGATTTTATTCATAAAAAAGGGTGGATTTTCCAGTTTTATACCTATTAAAATAACCTCCCTTTAGTTTTTTTATATAAATTTCTGATATGACATTGAGGAGTTATTGAACTTTATTCTTTGAAAACGCGACTGGCGTATCATGCGCTCATGCAAAGCTCTTTATTCTGTTATTGTAAGATCGTATAATAGGAGCTAGAACACATAAAAATAAATAAAAACAATTTGAAATATTGAAGAACTTTGATTTAATAAAAACACCAAAATAAATATAAAAAAGAAAGCCGTTTTCAATGACCAAAGTTTCTGTGACTTAAGCAATTGACTTCTTGTTTAACAGTTCCAGTTCATTTAGATATTTCTTGAACTTGAAGTTATAAGTCGACATATTGCGTTTTGTACAAATGTAAGGACAACTCAATAATGACCAAGTAAAAATGATTTACTGTAATTTTTACTTATAAGTAAAATTCACTTTATTTCATTAATCATGTAACAATGATTACAATATGATTGAATAAGAAAAGCATTCATTTTTAGAAACTCTTTAATTTATGGGACACCTTTTCAAAGTTTATCGTGTTAATCAACCGGACCATGCGCGTATGGTCGGACCATATGAGTATGTACGCATATGGTCATGACCATACGCTTATGGTCCAAATACTCATATGGTCCGGAACATATATACATGTAAAGGTGAAATTTGATGCTCTATGTTAAAGTCTGAAAACTCATTGTAAAAAGATAACTTGATACACCTTCCACGAATGAAATCTTCCATTATAAATGACAAGTTAACATATTTGTATCCATTATAAAAATGACACCAAGGGTGAGGTAAAGGGTATAGAGATATGGCAACCTTGAATTATCCCGTCCAGCAGTAACCCATTCCTAGGAGTGGCGTCTGCTCGGCTTTGTGGCATGATATTATACATTTACAGATATTTCCTGTCAGTATTAGACATTAAATCGGATGCCTCGTGTAGGGAGTATGGTACGCTATCTGCTGGTCTGGTAAAAAAAACCTTGCGACAGATGATTGAGGAGTGCCTAGGTGGCTTGCTACAGAGCAGTTTTTCTGCCACTATCCAACAAATCCTCTATTCAGTGGTATTTCATTTTTATTTCAAAACCTACATACTGCTCTAGTAACTGTTGATGTCTACTTGTACTGAAAATGCATGAAATATTTGCCACTGAACGTCAATTAAACATACAAAAACACTTTTTTGCATCAATAAATGTGGTTAATTCTTTTTGGACACGGGCTTTGTCCTTGAATCATTCAACCCAAGCTGTGTTAATGTCCTTGAATTCCTTTGTCTCACTAGAATTTAAGGGTCAATCTACGCATCTGGAAGAACAAAAACCAGTCACCCATAATTTGCACATCTTACATTGATTGACTTAACTTCAGGTGAAGTACATTAAATTTGAAGTGTTAGCCCTGTATAACCTTGAGTTACGCGATGGATAATGTTACTCGTATAAAATAACTATCTATAGATATTACTGAAAAGTGATGGGATGACCATTTGATAATCTGATTGGGAGGGGGTCAGGATGAAATTGGAAATTATTATTCTGTCCTGATGATAACTGAAAATAAATTACTTTTTCCAAGACAGGTTTAAAATGAATCTTCTGCCAACAAAATGCAGAACAATGCAGAAATCAGTTGTGTACATGTGTGAAAATCAATTTTAACTAAGTAAAGAAGACCCCCTCCCCCTCCCCGAAGAAATTCAATTGTCTGTTCCCAAAGAATCTATCACCATTCACGACTGACAAAACAGCTGATCTGCAGATCAATGTATGAGAGAGAGAAAGATGAGATAAAACAGTATTTTAGTTCACTAGTTTAAAAGAAACAAAATGCTTTACATTCATGAAGTATAGATGGACATTGTAAATTTCATATGAAAATGTGTAAAAATGTTTATATGTATATATTTTGTCTTAAAAGTCTCTCATAAATCCTTTTTAAGATTGATGCATACATTGGATTTTTTTTTAACTGTTTTATGTGTTATTCTATGAATCTTATTTTATGTTTGTATGTTGTGAGACTATAATAAAATATTGAATCTGAATCTGGATCTGTGATGACATGGAGCAATTAAACAAAATTACAGACGAATTTCCTAACAACTTCGTTTTGGTACCAGTCTTGTATTACAATAAAATAGTCCATGTTTTCTGGGCTCATTTTGTTGTTTGAGTAAAAGTTTATGCTGAATTGAAACATCTATTTAGAAGTAAAACAATGTTTCAGCTTTGTTTGGGGTATCAAACCAGAAAGTTGGAAGGATATGATGTTCACTGGAAGTGGTATGGACTAGTAAAAATAGCAAACAGAAAGAAGAAAAAAGTAGTTTCGAGGCGGGTGGGGAGCAAGAAGGTGAACTGTGGTTTATTTTTATCAGTGGTACGGCTTAAGTCGACGCTAGGGGCCCGGTCCTGACCTTTTTGTTGGGTATGAATGATTCGTTCATTGTTGAAGACCCTACACCAACTGTCAAGATGAAGAACAGGAATAAAAGCCCTGTTCATTGATATTTAAAAAAAAAAATATTCTATGTATTGTGTGCGATTTTGTCCCATGTTCATTTACTCCATATACTTTTATTTTCTATTGACTTCAGGTTTTCATAACATGTGAAATGAGCACTTCGTGGCATGAGGCACTTTTCCCCCATTAAATCACAATTTCACATTACAATATACATGATATGTACATGAACAAAATTTCTATGAAGCATTTTATTAAAAAAAAAAATTTAAAGATCAGCTGTTTTGCATGTAAGCCTATGGAGCAGTCAATTACAAGACTGCAACCTTTTCACGTGCGTTTCAATAACGACCAAAGATACACGAAACAAATTATGCAATAACTTCACACTTTTGTGACGGCTGACACTATTATTGCATAAAGACACATTATTATGATACATAAATTAATTTATGTCTTTTGTACTTGAAAAAAGACACATTTATCAATTTGTTATTCTCTTATAATGCACAAATCACTTAGTCTAATTAATGTTTAGACCACCATAGACATTTGTGTTGTCTGTGTCGAAACAGAGAATTGTATATCTAAACGATAATCATTATACTGTGTAACAATTCCTTGGTCGAAATGATCAGTCAAAATTGCACCAAAAAAATAACAAACAAACAAACAAACAAAAACAACCGATATATATATATATGTATCTTTAAAAGTAAAATTTCAAAATTGGAAGAATATCCAATAATAAAAAAAATAATGTTCCCCTTACTTTATGATAAATTTTTTAAAAAATTTTCGATTCTGGGTATTTTTTTCAGTTATATAGTTAGTATGGGTGCCAATGAGACAACTCTCCATCCAAGTCACAATTTATAAAAGTAAACCATTATAGGTCAAAGTACGGCAAATGGCCCCAAAAATGACTAGTGTAAAACCATTCAAACAGGAAAATCAACGGTCTAATCTATATAAAAAACGAGAAACGAGAAACACTTATGAACCACATCAACAAACGACAACCACTGAACATCAGGTTCCTAACTTAGGACAAATGCAGCTAGTATAGTTATAATTGCAAAGTAAAATAGTTTATCGGTGAAAGTGCGACACTTAAAACCTGAAGTTAAAATAAACTGGAACGGTTCTTATACTGTAACAACAATAAAGAAAAAAAAAGCCATCTCGATTTTATGAAAATATGGTTTACATGTGCAATAGAGAAAAATTAAGTGTTGACTAATATTAACGTCATGAGGTAACATTTTATACGTATTATGACGAAGATAATTATTG